TCTCGCGAAACATATGCTCTGAGCGTATATTTTAAACTATTTTATGGTGCTGTTTTTTTTTCTTTTTTTCTTTTCTCTTTTTTTTTGCGTAAAACTCGCCTTTAAAACGAAATACGCTGTACAAACGCGGATTCAAGATTAAAACTAAAGCTACTGCCTGCTACATGATTTAGATAGGACCAGCCTGCAAGCGTGTGCTCGGCAAAAGATATTTGCCATCATAATACGTCAAAAGAGAGCGAGCAGAGGAAGCGATAGTTCAAGTCGGTGTCCTAAAAGCTGTAGCACGATATCAAGTTGAAATAAGAGGAACGACGACGAAGAAATGTAAATGTAAATATTAATACAGGGAGTCGGATACTGTATGGTGGCTAAGAGAGCCGAAGGGAGACTTCCTCCGGGAGTCTACCTTCCCTCGCCTGTTTCGTCCGTTCAAATATTTAATGGATTCGGCTACATCTACTCCTCGATTTTCTATATACAGTGGAGTAGCTGCGCTGTGTGTGGACGATGACTTCGCAGTTCAATTTATACGGCCATGTATTCGTGGGACGTGCAACCTTTTACAGGTGTTCGTTTGAACAATCGTTTTATCGTCAAAGGTTACCAATGAGGTTGTTCGCTCGATTCACTGTCCATTGACGTACCGTGAGTCACAGAAATATTCATACTACACACATGTATCAATTTTAAGCTTCAAATTATCGTTGCTATTATTTCGAAACGTAAAAATTTATTGATACGAATGATGTAATTTATTTCTGTTGAAATAAAATTCAGTAGAACGATAGTCGCGATAGTCGCAATTCATCGTTAAGTATGGTCGGATCATAACGTATCCGTAACAGGTTAGATTACTTAAATGTAGGATATTTAGTTTCGCTTTGTATTCTGCCCGTACTTGTATATGGCTTTTATCGTTTGAGTATAGTATACGAAATAAAGTTAAGCGTTCTGACTGAAGCCTTTGCGATAATCTAGAATCCGGTGATACTAGTCGAAGCTTAAATAAATGTTAACTATTACCGAAGAATTAAAGTTTCTCACGGGACGATTGGATTCTACAAGAGTAAAGTATTTACGCTGCAGTATAAAACAGCTCTTCCTAAATTGAACTAGAAGAAAAGAAAAACAATCGTTACAGTTTACAATAAATACTTAGCAGCCTGAAATGCGGAAATTAAAGAATGTCTACAACGAATAAAGTGGATGGGTTTCTGAAGGAAAGCACTTCTTCCTATGGCGGAAGAGTTGTTTCTTCGGTTCAAAAAAGAAATAACGATAATAACGAATAACAGAGTAATTTGAAAATATTTGAATGATCACGACAGATTAAGCGAACATTTTGAAAGTTACAGTTTTCTGTCTCTTTAAGGAAATTCCATTGATAGTGATCGCATACTTTGATTCTTTAAAAAAGTGTGACACATCTCTGAAAAATTTTACGAATATAGTCTTACTTACGGTATAATCTATATAGTTGTTACTTTTACAAACAGGCTACGTGTAAAGTACGGTATAAATATAAAAATTGGTATCAGATGCAGAGCCCTTGTTCGATACAAAACTATCTTCTATAATACTATGCGAACTATGCATACAACTTAGAAACCTTCTGCATTTTACGGCCTGATCTTTACCTTTGGATGGGCTGACACGAAAATGCAAAAATGGGATATAACATACATACGCGCATACAAATTCGAATATTCAACGATTGCAATAAATCGAATTTGATCGTAGGTCGAGTACAAAAAATATCTTTAAAAAACACGATTCGTAAAGCAACGTAATGATTTAACGTTTTTTTAACTTTTCTGTGTCTATCATCGTACATTTACGTTTCTCCTCCAAGTCCTTAAGCTGCACCTTAGAAAGATGTACAACTTGATCAAAAATTTGCTAAATAGGATAGGATGGGATAGGAGAAAAGAGTAAATAGGATTTACGTTTGTTTCTATGTAGTTCTGAAAACTATATCGTCAAGATAGTGGCCTCCATTTTCGATACATATCTGTAATCGATTCCTGAAATTTTTCGTCACCAGACGGGTTGTTTCCAGTAGTATTGTCGCGGCGTTTGAGTACTTCAAGTTCTTCCACGTGGTTTTCTTTTCAACGCTGAAACCTGTGGCCCTGAACTTTTCAAACTATAGCAATATGGTTTTTTCGGTCCATAACAACAGCCGATCACGAAGTAGGTACGAAAAGTTGTCTGTGTGGCGATTACAGCGTCGCTATCTTTTTTTTATAAACGCTTCAATAACGGATACCCGTTCAGATAGAGGCTAAAAATCGTGAGTCATATGCTATCGAAAAACTGCGTTGCGACTTGAACACAATAGCTAAACGAAATCTGGGAGGTTGTACTGCCGCACCCTGTAATGTGGCCCTTGAGTAGATCTATTTAACTTGTCATAATCTTCGGGTCATGACGAGACGATAATAGTTAATACATTATATCCTTTGTACTCTTCGATATGACTAGAAGCTATGATTCAAAAAGTAGTAAGTATTAAATTACTGTACATTCCTTTCATATGCGCTAAAAGGTGCTAAAACTGAGCAGCTGAAATCTCGTATTTCACTATTTGATCATTATTGTACGTCGTTCGCTCAACTCGATACAGCAATTGCTTTCGCATAATAACGTGGCAGAAATTATACTTATCGATTTAAAAATATTCATAATCTCGTCGTCCAATCATAGATGACCCGAAAAATTCATTCCGGCCATGGTATTGCGTGCTAAAAGATAGCGAAATCTCTCTTTTTCCTATACCTTTTACGAATCTTTCTTATGAGAAGAACAAGGGGGACTAATAGCGTACAAATGTTAATAGTTCGTGTTAATTTTCAAATAACGTATGACGCATTTAACTGATACAGCGTGAAATGTTGTTATATTTTGAGAGGAAGTTTCTAAGTAAGAATTGAAAGTATAAAGAAAATAGCTCCTCTTCGTGGCAACGATAGATAGGACAGTTTGACGCGCGAATTGAAATCGAAGCGAAGCCATAGAACCCGGTAAGGAAAAAATAGATTGACCATTAATTAGTTGCCGATCGACACTGATCAACCTCTGGATGTGTTCCGCGAGATTTCACGCAGTTAATTAATTTCGCCTGTATAATTAAACTTCCGTCTCGCTGCACACGTGTTCCCCTCGGTTCGAATAAATAAGAAGACACCTGAATTCGAAAGCAATTTAACATTTCGCAATCGTCCGTGCGAAGAACGTCGTCATCACGTTCAAATAATAACGATAAAATTTCTCTAGTATGTTCGCTTTTTTGATAATACATTCGTAATACAAAGGGGTTAGAAACATTGCGCATACATAGAAGAAAATAGATAACGTGCCTGCGTCTTAATATATGGATCAAGTACACGGCAAGCAAAGAAATTTCTACCAGTCGTTTCTGCTATAATCAGTAGAATAACGAGAGTGAAGTTTATCCACGCATCCGGTAGCGATAGATGAAAAATCAGGATATTTTCCGCGGTTATATCCTGCTAGAGGATAAATTTCAGGTTCGAAGCTCGGCAGAATGAACAGAAAAGGGGGGAAAAAGCAAAGAGGATACTGAGACGCGCTTCGCAGGATTTGACGGAATTAATTAACCCCGTGGTATAATTAAAGTCCCGTTTCGTCGGCAGGGAACGTTGCTACACCATGAAAGTTAAACTGACGAAGATCAAATCGTGAATCCTAGTTGCAAACTGTGCATGGTGGCCGTGCAGTCGTACAGTGAGTGAGAAACAAGCAGAGAAAGAGCGAGAGAGAAAGTGAGGGAAGAGAAGAGAGAGACGGTCGGATAAAGGGAAAGGATGGAAGAGAGGAAGACAGAAAAGGGAAACAGCAAAGGACGGAAGGAAGGTTGAGGAAGAAGGGGATTTAATGGCTATAGAGAGAGAAAAGATCTTTAATTAAATTCTACCATTCTACCATTTTCAAACTGCTATGCGTTTCTCATCGAAACGCCGATAGAAAATCGAAGATTCGATGAAAGCGTTGTGAGAAAAAACCCATTTCCCTGCCGATAGTTACGGACGTATCTAATTGAGAACAAAATGCGTCTCGTAATAACATTTTTGGCTCCAATTCAAAAATCTTATATCGTACCTAGATGATCCGATTACGATGTTTATTTTGTTTTTGTAATTCATCTGCCGTCAGCTTCTACCTCCGTCTTTACTTGCGAAATTTTCGCCCCAAGTCGTTTCAAGGTCGTCGAGTGCGTTTTAATCTCAGCTTTTCAATTAAAAAATTAAACAAAAAGCGAGTCCTTCTGACTAAAACAAAATGTCGTATCATAAAATGCTGTATCATAGCCTAATTTCCCGCCTGAGATACATCAACTTTCTATTAACTAGGATTCGCTATGACTCGAAAACAAAACTAAGCAGGACATATGTCTATAGGAACTCTTTTTATTATTTAGATGTGCAGAGACCGTTGCCAAAACATTGACTATTCATTCTGAGACAACCTGTATATGCTACATATTATAATTTTATTATTTATACTAAGAATATTATCTATGCGAAAGTTAATAAATGTATGTATGTATATCTTTATAGTACTTCTATATGTGTACTTTATCGACATTTATTTCATCGATGTTTTTACCGTTCAAAGCTTTCTTTTCCGTTTTAACCATTTTAAAAGGAATAGTAGAAGAGACCTTAGTTTTACCCAGATAACCCGTTCTTTGTGTCTCCCCTACACCATATATCAAAAACACAATTAAAACGCAGGCAATCGTACGTTCCCCTATTCGGATACTTTGGCGATTCTGATAGCGCATCACGGCCGGTTGGCCATCCAAACGTGTGATTTACACTTACCGCGATTTACAGGGCGTACGCGCGTCGTGTATTACCCAGTGATTCGTCGTTGGCCGTTTGCGTATTCGGCGTCGCACCCCTAAGCGGGCGCAGGCGCGAGTCTCGCGGCGCCTTCAATTTACCGAGCGACGTCCGTCAGTTGCGCTCCGACGCCGACGACGCTGTGATCGCTTCTCCTGTGCTTTGATACTTCTCCTTCGTGTCTCGTCGATCACGTAACCATGTGATCGTCGCTCTCCTCGATATTCATCCGACCATGGATGATCCATAATAATCGAGCGTAACGTCTCTTTGCTATATAATACGTTTTAATGGCTTACGAAATCTAAAGTTTAGTAGCTTAGGAGAAATGCAATTTTAAAAATAAAATAGTTGTTCGTAAAAGAGTTTGAAAAACTTTCCAATCAAACATGTGGAAAGGTTACATCGAACGATGATTTTGTGCATTGAAAGAATATGGATGATGTTTGTCGTCGTTTGCGCAAAAGATGAACAGAACTTTTCCACGCTTGCTGTCACGTGTATAACGTGAAACGGAAATAAGAAACGGAATAAAAGTGGTACGTTTTGCGCGTATGATTACGTCGGTGCGTGATGTTATTATGTGAGACAATGCGGTGGGGTGATGGATCGTGTGATTTGTTGCGATGCAAGTTTTTCGTTCTTTTGGTTCTCGTTGGCTGCAGCGATGGATACTTGAACATTTTTATCAGCCAGGCTCAGGTTATGAAACTGTTGGGTAAGTAGCCACCTATTTTTAATTTACACAGTTCGTTGAAAAATCAGTTACTTTGAAAAGGCAAAGAAACAGAGGATAACGTTTCCTTTTATTTAAATTTCTCGTTGCAAATTTACTTCGTACGCTTGCTATTGCTAATGCTCAATTTTATTCTATCTTGAAATGTTTCTTTTTCTTTTTTCTTCCCAATAAATATTTTTCTCTTTGTAGATATATATTATCGTGTATCGTTTCAAAGCTGAGAAGCTTCTTTTTCGCTCAAGATTTTAATTATTTAACATTTGGAATAAATCTTAACCGCCTTTAAACAAATATGTAAACAAATATTCTTAAAACTTAAGATGTAAGCTATATGTCACAACTACGTGTTCACGAACTTCGTTATAATTTTCAATTGTCTTATCGCTACGTTAGCCGAAAACCTAGCAACGATACATTTGAGTGGTATACGTTCAAACTGCATATTTTTCTTTAAATAGATAGTTTTGAAAATATAATTTAAAAAGTAGAGCCACTATTCTATATATCTATTTTTTTATATTACGTCCATTCTGTGCACTATTGTGCAAGAGCTAGATAAGAAACGAATAAAGAAATATGCACATAGAAATATCTTATGCTGTAAGCATAAAGTCCTCTGAAAAGTCCTCTCGAAAAGTTATTTTCTACAAATGTTCGGTCCTCTAATTAGAACTTTCAATTAAGACGAAAGTGAAACAGCGTGCCTGCTCGTTATGGGACGAATTTAAAAACACAAGAGGACTCGATGGTAGTTTGAAGAAATCTTGCGTTCGCGGCGGCCGTTAACGGATCTCGTTACAAGTGTAACGTTTTGTCATCGTCGAAAGCGAAAGAAAGAGCGGCGGAATGGATGAGGAGATGAGCGTGACAAATTAAATGCAAGCGTTCTATCGACGTAGCGGCGACCATATGGTCGAAAGAACCGCGAACTCTCAATTAACTTGCCATCGATGCTGCTTCGGCAAAATCTATAGAGATAAACTAAAACTACGTTCGCAATGGGTGTGTATCGTGAACTTTTAATTAGAATCGTTGCCCGACCGTTCGTTAACGAGCCACGACCGCGTATGATTATCGAATTAACGATAACCTTGATGAACGATGCTGCATTTAGCAGTGCGCGAATTTAACATTGCCTTAATCGCATCGAATCCTCCTGGTCCGGCATTTTTAATGGAATGCCAAGCAGCGTCGGAAAAAATGTCATAAACTCGTTTATCAGAGGAAGCGTAATGAAAATTGTGTTACAATCAGGAGTGAAATAATCCTGTGTGAAAGACTGAATTGAAATTATGGGATTGGGTTCACCTTGCCGGGTTTTGTCGTATAACTGTATCTTTTTAAAGAATAGTTTAGCCTAGATCATAATACATCGATGTGAAACATGATGTCGTAATAATACTTTTGATATTTTCGCCGCAGATCTTAATTAAAATCGTGGAAAGTGAATCCAAATACGGAAACCCAATTTTTAATTCTAACGGATCTAGGTAGGTTTCTATTCGATAAAAAACGGGTTTTCTGTTTTAAATCAATGTTATCGTTGTATCTAATACTTATATAGAAATATATATAATTATAAACACATTTTGACGATGTTCATTGCACGATTACTACTACGAAACTGAAATCAATGCAACTGTAGAGGAAGGAAATATATCGATCGAGTTATTTCTTACCTTGATCGGATACTTTAATTTCTATTTAAAACAAACTATATTTTTATCGCGCGAGAGACGACAAAGTAATTTGTTAAAGTTATTTCGCGATCCTATTTGTATCGAAAGAAAAATTTATTACGAGATGAATAATTTTGCGAAACTTAACTTTGTTCGTAACAAATCATCGTTACGTAACGTTTCATTGTGACGTTGTTTAAATTTCAAACATGAAATTGCATTTGAATTGGAAAATTTATCGTTTCCTTATTTTTCTGCGGCAGTTTGATTTACGACGCCGGTCGTAGAACATACGTTCCAGCCATTTTCCTTCAATTTAAGACCATTCCAAACCGCGTTTCCCACGCTTTCTTCGAAGTGCAGCTAAATCGCACTAGGAGTCGGCGAGCTGCGTGGAATACACGGTGGGATCTGCGGTAGGAGGCGTTCGTTTTTGATGGTCAGCTACGCACACACAGCAGAGACCTGTGTACCGTGCCGCGCGTATTTAGTCTCTATCCCATTCGATATCACTTTACGGTTCCATGATTCATACGCCTCTATCTGGCTGAACGTAGCGAGCCTATGTACACACAGCTTGGACGCGTCACTTTTCTGCTAGCGGAAAAGAGGAAAAAGTGGAATAGCTGTATTTACGAGCGAGCAGCCGCTCGTGACTCTTCGAAAATCGAGCCAATCCCAGTGTCGCGTCGCTCAAAATGGCTCCATCGCTCATTTCTGGTGTCAATGGTCTTACGGTCGGATGTCTGTGTGCTTCTCGACGGTTTTGCGTTAACACCGATACGTCGTTATCCAACGGTTAATAGAGGCAAGAGGATGCAGATCGAAACGAGTGCTACGAATTTGTGCCTGCCTGACTGATATCGTTGAGCCATACGTGATATCAGGTAAATTATGCAAAATTGCTGCCAAGTTCTTCGGGTTCTTTCGTATTTAAATTTTGAATTAAAAACGAAGATAACATCTCCATACTTCGCAAAGCACGTTGATAAAGATATTCTTTTTTATTTGATAACGTCGTTGTTCCCGAAATATAGTCGTTTCGCGCAAAGTCCGTATTACGTCGTCGAAAATCAAGAAAATAACCGAGGCAAGAGAAACTGTTGTTTCGTCCTTCCGTAGTTATAAAATTTGTCGACCCTCGCCAAGTCTTCGTCTTCTCGAAACAATTTCCCTCGAAAGAAAAAAAAGAAAGTAACCTCTTACTCGAATCTACGACGTTGAACGTCTCAAGTTGTTCGAAGCTACGTTGGCATCAACCAAGGTATTCAGGTGTCTTGAATACTTGGCTCAAACTTATCAGTCGTCGGCTCGACGAAAGTACGCCCGCACCCCAGCTTCTACGGAGCATAAAACCGTGGGCTGTCACCTTGAAAAATGTCTGATACGGGACGATGCAACTTTAAACCGTTAGTCTTCGTCGGCTGGTTAGCCGTGGTGCAAGGATCTCGAAACATCGGCGAACGAAACGACGTGTAACCATGGTGCCGCTACGTCGTCGGAAAGAATGGTGGCTTTAGAGTCGATTTCTCAGCCAGCTAAGCACCCGTGGAACCTAACGGACGACGTAATCCTCGTCAGATCTTGGATCCTTCCGGCCCTCGTCCCCTCTTACACTTGACCTCCGTAAACGTGCAAGCTGCGGAGAGAAGAAAGAGAAAGGGTTGATCGCGTCGTGCGAGTTGCGACCCACCGGGGGCGCGTTTAGTCGCCCGAGCTCTCGAAAGTCACTTAACTTAGATTGCACGAACGAAATGACTTTAGTTTCCCCGGAAAACTTCGTTTCGCTGGCGGAGCATTGCTCGAAAGCACCGAAAAAAGGAGGTAAAAGGGAAGACGAGCAAGAATGCACGGTGACAGAGAGCGAAAGGTAACCGGAGAGAGGGTGGCGAAGTAGTAGCATCGACGAACAAAGCGCGAGTGGAAGAGAGACAGACGTACGCAGACAGAAGATTCGCTCTAGCCTGAAGCAGACAGCCCTGCTCGAGCACGGAAATACAAGTACATCATTGGCTGACGCCTCTCATCGTGCGAACTCGGCACGTATTCCGGAGAAAGTTTCAAACATTTATACAGGCTACGCCTGCCGTTCGATGGAGGACTTGCAGCGTACTGTGGTTATACAGATGGAGCACAAGGACTATTGCGAAGCTAGTTAGAGAATCGAAAAAGTAAGTTTTCAACTGTGAAACGGGCACAAGCGTGGAAACGCCACCGAATTGGAAGTTACTCGCCGGATGTTCCGTGTTAAACGGATACCTTATTGCAAGTATTTCACAATTATTTTAAGGTGAACGAAACTGAACGAAATTTTAGGGTGAATTGAACTACGGTCATGAAACGAGATCTTTGCTACTTAAGAACGCGGAGATTCTACATCTTTTATATTATACTCCTTAAATATTTTTAGGTAAAATTATAATATTGCGGAAGCAGCGAAATATTTTTTAAATATTTTGAAACTCTTAATGCACAGATTTAATATACAGATTTTGTTCATGGTCGAACCGACGCTTCGTCGTAGCCTTCGTAATAGCCTTCCAAATTACGCATGTTTTACGCATTTTTATTTGTAATTTATAACGATTTCTTATTTATTAACAAGATACCTAATGTTTTCTCGACAAGAAGTTTCTGGCGTCGTTACGAAAAAGAACGCACTGCCGTTTCCACGATTCGAAAATTATTCAAACTTTTCTCATCTAAACTACATTGTAATGAATGAAGTTGAAATCTATCAGTGCCAAACCCAGCGAATACGGCGGACGGGAAATTATGTTCCCCTGCGATTCCAATATCTTTTTTGCATTACTATCGCTGCATGTAGTACCATGTTATCACAGATATATGGATAGGAGGATATTTTTCCGATTCATTGGGAATACCTGCTTTATTTTTTGTCGATGCAGATGAAATTTGCATTTATCGCTACTTGAAACAAATAGACAGCCTTTAAACGTGTGGCTTCCCAAATAATATAATAAAGCAATAACTTAGTAAATGAAATACTTTAGAATAATTGCTATAGAAATGTCTGAATAGCATTTTCATATCCGTTTAGAGTTTTATGCTGCTTTCTTCTATTTATGCAATAACTTCTGCGATAATTTATAACTTATTATAACTAATAACTAGACGCTATAAATGCGTTAGTAGTGAATTACTTCGCACATATTCTATAACGTGCTTCTTAACATTAAACTTTTACGTGTTTTTTACAATATCGATCGATCGGATATCGTATCGTTGACCGATAACTACATTTCATTTTCGATGAATAATAATAATATGCCTTTACAA